CTCACAATGAACAATCACTCACAAAGGACAAGGGGGCAGAGGGAACACTTATACACAGACTAATGAGGGAATGAGTACCAGGTGTGTGGGATTGACAAGACAAGACAAGACAAATGGAGTGATGATAAATGGAGCGGTAGTGGCTAGTAAGCCGGTGACGACGAACGCCGAAACCTGCCCGAGCAAGGAGGAGGGTCAGCCTTGGCTGAATTCGTGACAGTACCCCCCCTTGACGCGCAGCTCCAGCAGCGCGCCGACACCGGCCTCGGGTGTCGACGATGGAAGTCCCTCAACAGAGAGGGATCGAGGATACCCCTACCAGGACCCAGCACTGTTCCTCCGGACCGTACCCTTCCCACTCCACGAGGTACTGAAGGCCCCCCACCCAGCGCCTCGAATCCAGTATGGAACGGACAGAGTACGCCAGTGCCCCCTCGATGTCCAAAGGAGGTGGAGGGACCTCCCGCACCTCAGACTCCTAGAGCGGACCAGCCACCACCGGCCTGAGGAGAGACACATGAAACGAGGGGTTAATACGGTAATCAGGGGGGAGTAATAACCTATATGTGACCTCGTTGGTTCTCCTCAGGACTTTGAACGGCCCTACAAACCACGGGCTCAGCTTCCAGCAGGGCAGGCGGAGGGGCAGATTCCAGGTCGAGAGCCAGACCCGATCCCCGGTACAAAGACGGGGGCCTCACTGCGGTGGCGGTCAGCGTTGGCCTTCTGACGACTCACAGCGCCTTGGAGGTGAACATGGGCAGCGATCCGAGTCTCCTCCGCACGCCAAAACCACTCATCCACCACAGGAGCTTCGGGTTTGGCTCTGGTGCCACGGTGCCAGAACCGGTTGATAACCTAAAACACACTGAAATGGCGTTAGGTTTGTAGAGGAGTGGCAGAGAGAGTTCTGGCCATATTCTGCCTGTGGCAGGAACACCGACCACTCCCCCGGCCGGTCCTGGCAATAGGACCTCAGGAACCTACCCACATCCTGATTTACCCATTCCACCTGCCCATTACTCTCAGGGTGGAACCCAGAGGTCAGGCTGACCGAGACTCCCAGACGTTCCACGAACACCTTCCAGACTTTTGACGTGAACTGGGGACCTCGGTCAGACACTATATCCTCTGGTACCCCGTAGTACCGGAAGACGTGTGTAAACAGGGCCTCCGCAGTTTGCAGAGCCGTGCGGAGACCGGGCAAAGGAAGGAGGCGGCAGGCCTTTGAAAAGCGGTCCACAACGACCAGGATGGTGGTGTTCCCTTGAGAGAGAGGCAGATCAGTGAAAAAATCGACACTCAAATGAGACCATGGTCGTTGTGGAACTGGTAAAGGTTTTAACTTACCCGCTGGGAGGTGCCTAGGTGCCTTACTCTGGGTGCACACTGAGCAGGAGGAAACATACACCCTCACGTCCTTAGCCAAGGTAGGCCACCAGTACTTTTCGGTCAGGCAGCGCACCGTACGACCGATACCTGGGTGACCAGATGAGGGTGACGTGTGTGCCCAGTAGATCAGACGATCACGGATAAGCGCAGGCACGTACTGCAGCCCAGCTGGACACTGCGGTTGAGATGGATCTGTGCGTAATGCCTGCGCTATATCCGCGTCCATCGCCCATACTACCGGCGCCACAATTCATGAGTCTGGCAGTATGGGGGTATTGTCTCTGGGCCTCTCCTCTGTATCATACAGCCGGGACAGTGTGTCTGCCTTCACGTTCTTCGTACCCGGAATGTATGACAGTGTGAAATCAAACTGGGTGAAGAAATGGGCCCACCTGGCCTGGCAAGGGTTCAGCCTCCTGGCAGCCCGGATGTACTCCAGGTTACGGTGGTCCGTCCAGACGAGGAATGGGTGTTTCGGCCCCTCGAGCCAATGTCTCCACACGGTCAGAGCTCGGACAACAGCCAACAGCTCCCGATCACCAACGCCGTAGTTCTGCTCTGCCGGGCTGAGCTTCTTTGAGAAGAACGCACAGGGGCGGAGCTTGGGTGGCGTGCCCGAGCGTTGAGACAGGACTGCTCCCATCACAACCTCGGACGCATCCACCTCCACTACGAACGGTAGTGATGGATCGGGGTGGGCCAGTACCGGGGCCGAGGTGAACAGTTCCCTCAGGTTACTGAAGGCCCTGTCAGCCTCAGTAGACCAGCGGAGCCGGGACCGCCCACCCTTCAACAGAGATGTAACGGGGGCTGCAACCTTGCCAAAGCCCCGGATAAACCTCCGATAATAGTTGGCGAAGCCAAGGAAGCGCTGCACCTCCTTTACCGTGGTTGGAGTCGGCCAATTACGCACGGCTGCAATGCGGTCGCTCTCCATCTCCACACCTGTGGTAGAAATGTGGTATCTGAGGAAGGAGACGAACTGCTGGAAAAACATACACTTTTCTGCCTTAGCATAAAGTTCATTTTCCAACAGTCGGGCCAGTACTTTGCGAACCAGGGACACATGCTCGGCGCGCGTAGCGGAATACACCAAGATGTCATCGATGTAGACCACTACACTGCGACCAAGCATGTCACGAAACACCTAGTTCACAAAGGACTGGAAGACAGAGGGATCATTCATCAAACCATAGGGCATCACCAGGTATTCATAATGCCCCGTGGTTGTGCTGAATCCTGTCTTCCACTCATCTCCCTCTCGGATACGTACCAGGTTGTATGCACTCCTGAGATCTATTTTAGTGAAGAAGCGCGCTCCATGCAATGACTCAACCACTGACGGAATGAGGGGGAGAGGATAACTAAATCTAATCGTCTCCTTGTTCAGTGGTCGATAGTCAATGCACGGGCACAGAGCGCCGTCTTTCTTCTTCACAAAAAAGAAACCAGAGGAGGCGGGTGAAGTGGAGGGACGTACAGTATGTACCCCTGGCGTGGGGACTCGGTGACGTATGTCTCCATAGCCTCCGTTTCCGCCTGCGACAGGGGATACACATGACTCCTGGGGGGTACAGCGTCTACCCAAAGGTTTATTGCGCAATTTAGTTGCTTTATTCTTGGAGAAAACTTGTGCCAGATCATGGTATTCGGGGGGAATGCGCACGGTGGAGGCACCGTCTGGACTTTCCACCGTGGTTGCACCAAAGGAAACACCCAGACACCTACCCTGACACTCTCACGACCACCCCGTGAGAACCCTCTGCGGCCATGAGAAAGTGGGGTTGTGGAGTGCTAGCCACGGAATACCTGACACCACAGGGAAAACAGGAGACTCAATGATGGAAAAAGTGACCTGCTCACAATGCGTCTCCTGTGTGATCATGGTGACTGGTACCGTGACTTCCTTTATCTACCCGGACCCTAATGGTCGACTATCAAGTGCTTTGATGGGGCGTGGAATGGATAGGGGAACTAATGAAATGCCCTGGCGGCGTGCAAAAGTTTTATCCATAAAGTTCCCAGCTGCGTCTGAATCTACTAGCGCCTTACACTTGGGAACTCTCATGTAATCAGGGAAGTATATGGGTATGGTACAGTGCGTAGCAGAGGGCTCTGAACAAGTTTGGGTGCTAAATACCTGGGGTGATGCGAGAGTGCCCTGCCGGCCGCCTCCTGACCCAAAAGAGCACTGACGACAACATGTGGTGGAATGTCCCTTCGTGCCATCCGATTGGCACTGGCGCTATCGTGAGCTCCATGAGCTCTGGATCCACGGGAACGGGCAGACCTCCTCCAGGACGTCCTCTGGTTGCCAGCAGGTTATCCAGATGAATGGCCATGTCCACCAGTTCGGTAAAAGACAAACTGGTGTTACGGCAGGCTAGCTCCCGTCGGACGTCCTCCTGTAGATGGCACCGAAACTGGTTGATCAGGGCCCGCTCGTTCCACCCGGATCCTGCTGCCAGAATCCGGAACTCCTGTACTGTCCTCGTCCCCTTCCTCAAGTGGACCAACTGCTGACCCGCCTCTCGACCCTCGGGCATGTGATCGAAAACCGCCCGAAATAGGCGGGCGAACTCCTTGTAGTCGTCCAACGCGGCTCCTCCTCCTTCTCTCCAAACCGGGTTGGCCCACTCCAGGGCTTGCCCCGAGAGGCAGGAAATGAGGACGGACACCTGCTCTCGATCTGATGGCGCCAGCCCATCGAACGCCCGTGGTCGAGATATCTGGATCCCTCCGGGTGCTGTGATGTAGGAGCTACTCACTCTCACAATGAACAATCACTCACAAAGGACAAGGGGGCAGAGGGAACAGATATACACAGACTAATGAGGGAATGAGTACCAGGTGTGTGTGATTGACAAGACAAGACAAGACAAGACAAATGGAGTTATATTAATGGAACGGTAGTGGCTAGTAAGCCGGTGACGACGAACGCCGAAACCTGCCCGAGCAAGGAGGAGGGGCAGCCTCGGCTGAATTCGTGACAGAGATCCTGAGGCCCATTGTCGTGCCATTCATCCGCCGCCATCACCTCATGTTTCAGCATGATAATTCATGGCCCCATGTGCAAGGATCTGTACACAATTCCTGGAAGCTGAAAATGTCTCAGTTCTTCCAAGGCCTGCATACTCACCAGACATGTCACCACCCATTGAGCATGTTTGGGATGCTCTGGATCGACGTGTACAACAGCGTTTTCCAGTTCCCGCCAATATCCAGCAACTTCGCAGATGCATATCTCTATTCCCAGTCATGTGAAATCCATAGATTATGGCCTAATAGATGTATTTCAATTGACTGATTTCCTTATATGAACTGTAACTCAGTAAAATCGTTGAAATTGTTGCATGTTGCGTTTATATTTTTGTTCAGTGTAGTTTTATAGTTATTTTATAGTTTATGGTTATTTTATAGTTATAGTTACAGTATATCCCCCCAACTTCCTTCTCTCCCTCCCTCCCTCCCTCCCTCCATCCCTCCCTCCCTCCCTCCCTCTCTCTCTCCATCCCTCCCTCCCTCCCTCCATCTCTTTCTCTCTCCATCTCCCTCCCTCTCTCCCCATCTCCCACCCTCCCTTCAAATCTTACCCTCTCTCTTCCAGGAGAACGACCAAGGTCATGTTTGACTGGCCCAACATCACAGTGCCCAGCTATTCAGAGCAGGGCCTGAAACCAGGAGGTGAGGAGCTGCAGAGGTCTACATGTGTCCTGGGCTTCTTCCCTGTCATCTATTATAGCGCCCTCCTCTGTGTGGGAGTACCAGGTACACACACGAATACACACACACATGCAGGCACACACGCACACACTGTCCCTTCTCCAAAATGAACACTCCAACGTTCCTGAGCAACAAGACAAAACAACAATCACATTAATGGATTGCGTTCAGTTCATGTAAGCTGTGTTGTCATTGTCGGTGTTGTTGTGGGGCTACAACATCGACAGACGTGCCGATCACGGTGATGTGGTATTGATCCAACATAGGCAGGGATGGTTGTAGGGAGGGAGGGGAAGCAGGAGACTAGGGGGGTCATCTGAGATCAGCCGCCTGTATTCCCTCACTCTGAATCCTCCAGATGACCTTTTGGAACTAATTGCTCCCAGTGGGGATTGAGAGGTATATGAGTTGGAGCGGAGGGCTGAAGACAGAATGGGCACCAATTGTTTCTAGTGGGAATATCCTGTTGTTGACTAGTCGCCGAAAAGAAACCCAGACTATGATAGCTGATTGTATAGAAATACAGCTGAAATCTATGCAGCTACTGTATGTCACACTACTGGAAGAAAATAAAAACACACACACACACACACACACACACACAGACACACTGTTACGGCAGTCAGGGTATAAAAAAACAGGGACTCTTGGAAAGACTATGTGCTTGCTAAGAACAAATATCCTCCATAGAATATCTACCGTAATGCTGCCACGAGCCAAGTACACTATATATACAAAAGTATGTGGACACCCCTTCAAATTAGTGGATTCGACTATTTCAGCCACACCCGTTGCTGATAGGTGTATAAAATCGAGCACACAGCCATGAAATCTCCAAAGACAAACATTGGCAGTAGAATGGCCTTACTGAAGAGCTCAGTGACTTTCAATGTGGCACCGTCATTGGATACCACCTTTCCAACAAGTCAATTCGTCAAATTTCTGCCCTGCAAGAGCTGCCCCGGTCAATTGTAAGTGCTGTTATTGTGAAGTGGAAACATCTAGGAGCAACAATGGCTCAGCCGCGAAGTGGTAGGCCACACAAGCTCACAGAAGTGGACCGTCAAGTGCTGAAGCGCGTAGTGTGTAAAAATAATCTGCCCTCGGTTGCAACACTCACTACCGAGGTCCAAACTGCCTCTGGAAGTAACATCAGCACAATAACTGTTCGTCAGGGTTTCCATGGCCAAGCAGCCGCACACAAGCCTAAGATCACCATGCGTAATGCCAAGCGTTGGATGGAGTGGAGTAAAGCTCGCCGCCTTTGGACTGGGGCTGTTTTTCATGGTTCGGGCTAGGCCTCTTAGTTCCAGTGAAGGGAAATCTTAACGCTACAGCATACAATGACATTCTAGACGATTCTGTGCTTCCAACTTTGTGGCAACAGTTTGGGGAAGACCCTTTCCTGTTTCTGAATGACAATGCCCCCGTTCACAAAGCAAGGTCTATACAGAAATGGTTTGTCGAGATCAGTGTGGAAGAGCTTGACTGGCCTATTCTTAAATTCTATTCCTTACTAGATTTGTGTGTATTGGGTATATGTTGTGAAATTGTTAGATATTACTTGTTAGATATTACTGCACTGTCGGAGCTAGAAGCACAAGCATTTCGCTACACCCGCAATAACATCTGCTAAACACGTGTATGTGACAAATAGAATTTGATTTGATTTTAATCCCTCTCCCTCCCCTCTCTCCCTCTTCCCCCTCTCCTTCTCCACCCTGCCCTCTCTCTCTCCCCCACTCCCTCCCTGCCTCCCTACTCCCTCCCTGCCTCTCTCCACTCGCTCCCCCTTCAATCTATCAGTAAACATACTTACTGCGGTGGCTCTATCCCGGCTGGCAGCCCGTACTAAGAAGGCGCTGTATGTGTACCTGCTGGCTCTGACCGGCTCTGACATCCTCTCCCAGCTCTTCATCATCTTTGTGGGCTTTCTGCTAGAAACAGCTGTGTTCCACCGTGAAGTAGGTACAGTAGTACAGTGGATAAGAAGGTGGATGCGTAGCTAATAGATTACCAGTACAAATCCTGGGCATGGCACTGAAAAAAAGAACAATTGGGAACAATTGAGTTGAGAAATTAGCAAAGGATAACATTTTATTGTTTGCTGTATGGAATGGACGATAAAGGTGTAGTGATCTGTTTTGGGAGAAAGTTTGAATTCTAATCAACCTGTCTACTTGTTGTTTGAAGTACAGTAGATCAACATTGTCCCTGTGCTGCTCATGTGAATTTCCTTTCTCTTTGTCCTGACTTCTCACATAAAACGTAGCTTTTGTGTTTAATTGTATTCTAGGTCCCCACCCTCCTGCTGCGCTCGGTTAGCATGGCGGAGTTTGCTGCCAACCACGCCTCCATCTGGGCCACCGTACCCCTAACCGTGGACCGCTACGTGGCGCTGTGCCACCCGCTCCTCCACCGCCAGATCAGCTACCCGGCACGGGCGCGGCGGATCATCGCCGTCGTCTTTTTCTTGGCGCTGTTGTCAGGCGTACCGTTCTTCTGGTGGTCTGACATGTGGCGTGTCGCCCGCCCGCCCACCTCCCTGGACTCCGCCCTCATATGGACGCACGTGACGATAATCTACTTCCTGCCGTGTAGCATCTTCCTGGTTCTGAACTTGCTGATCATTCACCGGCTGCGGGCGCGGCAGAGACAGGTCCCGTGCCAGGAGGAGCGTGGTGGTGGTGGGGCCCGGTTGGCCCCGCGGCGGCGTCTGGGTAAGAGCACCGCCATGCTGCTCGTCATCACCTCTGCGTTCGCCATTCTCTGGGCCCCCAGGACTATAGTGGTCATCTATCATCTATATGTGTCATCAGTCCACAAGGACTGGCGGGTCCACCTGGCCTATGATCTGTCTAACATGCTGGCCATGCTCAACACTGCGGTCAACTTCTTCCTCTACTGTTTCGTCAGTAAGCCATTCAGAGCGGCCGTGAGGGATGTTCTATTGCTAAGGGGGGGGTCCATTGTACCACCGAAGAACCCTCCACCATCAGCAGGCCCCCGCCAACGCCTCTACGTCCTCGCTGTCTAGCAGGACAGATAAACACTCGCACCGAGACTCTACCAACCCCACCCCCCTATCACCCCGCAGGGCTAACAAGACTATGTGACCCTGACCTTGACCCTTAATCCTGAGATGAGACCCCCTTAATTGAGACCAACCCCCTCGTCCACCCCATCTCTCCATCCCCTCGTCCACCCCATCTGTCAATCCCCTCGTCCACCCCATCTCTCAACCCCCTCGTCCACCCCATCTCTCCATCCCCTCGTCCACCCCATCTCTCCATCCCCTCGTCCACCCCATCTGTCAATCCCCTCGTCCACCCCATCTCTCAACCCCCTCATCCACCCCATCTCTCAACCCCCTCATCCACCCCATCTCTCCATCCCCTCGTCCACCCCATCTCCAACCCCCTCGTCCACCCCATCTCTCCATCCCCTCATCCACCCCATCTCTCCAGCCCCTCATCCACCCCATCTCTCCATCCCATGGATGATGTGACTATGACCTTGACCATGACCATGGGACCTCCCTAATTGAGACAAACCCCATACCCTCTTCCCTCCATCGCCTCTTCCATTCCTCTATCCGTCCCCCCAACACCCCATCCCACGGCCCATGTGACCTTGAAGGTTAGATCCCCCCCCCCCCCCCTAATTGAGACCAAACCCTCCCCTCACCCCATGCCTCCATCCCTCTATCCCCTCATCCCACAGACCATGTGACCTTGACCCTGAGACACCAGATCAACCCCCTTTACCCATCCTCTCATTGCCCCAACTCTCTATCCCTCAATCCCACCATCCATCCCCCCATCCCACGGTCCCCCTAAGCACTTATGACCTCTGAACCACAGAGAACCACAGAGAACCACAGAGTGCATTCCAGCCATGTTCCGTGGACAGCTGCCAATCACCCTCTGAGCTGAACATTCTCAAAGGGCCTTTTACTGAACTGTTGTTGGACTCAAAACAAGCAGAATGTTTTCTGATTAAACGTGTTATTTATTATGTTATTATGTCCAGCGGGAATCAGATTAAAATGACACACAAAGTATTTATTTTTCCTTAGGGGAACATTTGGCTTGTGACATTACGAGCACTTGGCCTGACTTTATGTTACTTTCCATATATGGTAGCTAGTCACAATTATGTAACATGCATTTGTTTATATTGCAAAAAAAATTTGAAAAAATAATGACATATGGACATTGTTTGGTCTTGGTGGCTGCAGGTGAACATAGTGCTTTAGTTAGCACATAGAGAGAAGAGACTGTGAAAAGAGATGATGCTTTCATCATGTGCATGCTACTTCATGTGAATGGTTCATCTATCTATTTACACATTGAGCATAGCCTCATTTCCTCTCAGTTCTCTACAGGGGGACAGTTTAGTTCTCTGTGAATCACTTTACAATAGAAGGAAATTCAAAATTCTCTTCCTTTACGGAACATAAGTTAAATAATAGTAAGACATTATTTTCATACAGTGCATTATTCTTTACTATGGAGAGAACACTCCACATGCCTATTTGCCCAAATGATAGTGTGACAGGCTTGCTGAGCAGCACAACCGAACCAATCAAGCAAACAAATAGCATTAAGTACTTCATTTCAACACTGAGAGCGAGGAGCAAACCACAGCTGTGGTTATTTTTCATGAAAACGCAACTGGATGGAGTTTTAAATGAATGCTTGCTGTAAGTGACTGCCTAAAAGCCGCAGCAGGGGAAGAAGACCCTGTTCTACAAACACACTCCCCCTGTGGGCTTCAGCTCAGCTAGCTAAACAAATCTAACATCAGACTGACGGACGGCACACAGAAAGTACATTTCCATCTGCTCCTGTGCAAGCCCCTAGAAACATCAATAAGACAATATGGACAAATTCAAATGACAATTTTTCATCAATAAGGCACGAGAACCTGTGTTTTATTGTAAATAGCACACGGGTAAGGGGTCCTCTGGAAACATCCACACTTACTGAGTATTTGTGTGGAGCTGAGCGTTCTACCCTGCGCCATATCTCTTCTCTATACATGGTTCTAACTAATGATTGCATTAATCAACACTTGGCAAGTGCAATCTGTTGGTGTATTGCTTTTTAATGCAATTAGTTCATTAAGCCCCAAGAGTTGATGAACCATGTTTAGACTTTGATCTTGAAATAAGCTCAGGCTCATCAATAAGTCCTCAGTGAAAGGCTTTTAAATAAGGATGTACTTTTCTGTCCTCATAGCCATTGCATAATTGGCTTGAGAAGACGTTTCATCTACATACTATAGTTAATCTGTTTGCACTGGTAGGAACAGACAGTAAGAGAGAACAATATGTTTTTGTTGATTACATCTTTTGTGTTCCTTTATGGCTGAATTGGTAGAGGATGGTGCTTGTAACAGGCGGGGTAGTGGGTTCGATTCCCACAACCATCCCATACGTGAAATGTATGCACACATGGCTGTATGTCGCTTTGGATAAAAGTGTCTGCTAAATGGCATATATTTTGTCTTATTGAGATTAAGCTAATTGCCTACTATATAATACATTTTAAACACAGGAGGTTGGTGGCACCTTAATTGGGGAGGATAGTCCTCCCCTCAGCAGCCTCCACTGATTTTAAATAATGTACATGTGAAAGCACACTAAAATCCTTCTTGCCATGATGATTGTTTTAACCTTAAGTCTTTCAGATGGCAGCCTAAATGCTCATCATTCCCACTACAACTGGATCATTCCTAATGTTTGTAAATAACTAATATGTGTGACCAGTTGGATGAGTAATCAACATACTATTGTGTTCGATTTACTATAGTCGAAGTGTAATATCTATATTATCATACATGAGCACAAGACCAACCAACCAAATACCAATCTCTGTGAGCTTCTTTGAGCAGTTCAGTCATATAATGTTGTTGTACAGTAGTTGTTTAATTAAGCAATAAGGCCCGAAGGGGTGTGGTATATGGCCAATATACCACGGCTAAGGGCTGTTCTCCGGCACGACGCAACGCGGATTGCCTGGATACAGCCCTTCGCCGTGGTATATTTGCCATATACCACAAACCCCCGAGGTACCTTATTGCTATTATAAACTGGTTACAAATGTAATTAGAACAGTAAAAATAAATGTTTTGTCATACGATCTCATATACCACGGCTTTCAGCCAATCAGCATTCAGGGCTCGTAATACGGTATACTATAGGGCTAAGCACACAGTCATATAATGTGATTGTAGTTATTTGATTCATACAGTACAAAGTCCAATACCAACATTAGAGAAGCATAGAAATTAAGTTATTCTGTTTCATGTCTCCAAGTGCCACCAGCTCATCATGTCCCTCTCTCTAACAGACATTAATGCACTCTGTGTGATACTGCTTAGAGCCATCCCCTCTGTGTGCAGCTGTGTGTCCATCCATCCATACTGAGTTCTGAGAGTCTCTCTATGTATCCATCCTGTGACCAGCTCAGATGGGGCCCGGCCTGAGGCACAGACACAGATGTTACCTCATGCAACTGTTTGTCCATGTCGTCCTGCTAGTGACCATAACATTCTGACTTCTGAGAGTCACTCTATGTGTTCATTCTTCACCCAGGTAAGAGAGGGAGAGTGTGACAGCACTCGGAGGTGTCCACTCTGCTCTGTGTACAGCTGTCCATCTATCCATGCCCCCCATGTCTCCAGTGACCATGGCCTACTAGGTTCTGAGAGTCTCTCTATGTGTCCATCCTATGACCAGCTAAGACAGGGGCTTGGCCTCAGGGTACAGACGCAGATGTTACCGAACTTTTCTTTGAAGACGTCCCCCCACTGTCTTACCAACACAGCGAGGGGGACGAGAGAGCATGTAACCGTGGCGACCCCAGGGGGACACACACAGTGGGGACGTCGGCGGTATCATGAGGGATCATGAGAGAAAACAGTTTAGGGTTTAAACGTTAACACGGTGGTGTAGATGTCAGGGCAGGCTCTGATTAGTATCTTATTGAAGGCTCCGACACAGCTTTAGTGATGATGATTATGTCTGCGTCCCAAATGGCACGCACTATGTAGGGCTCTATATAGGGAACAGGGTGCCATTTGGGACATAACAAATGCTCCTTTATGGAGGAGGGGAAGGAAGAGGAGGAGAGGAGAGAAGAGAAGGGGGGAGGGGAGAGGAGAGGAGGAGGGGAGAGGAGGAGGGGAGAGGGGAGAGGAGGAGGGGAGAGGAGAGTAGGAGGGGAGAGGAGGAGGGGAGAGGAGAGGAGAGGAGGAGGGGAGAGGAGGTGGGGAGAGGAGAGGAGAGGAGGAGGGGAAAGGGGAGAGGAGAGTAGGAGGGGAGAGAAGGAGGGGAGAGGAGGGAGGGAGGGACATGGAAGAGTAAGGTTTTCCCCTCTTTCCACACATCCCCAGCCTGCCTGTCCTCCTGCTTATCACCTGCCATATGTTGTGTGCCTGCTCAGACACCTGTCTAGGCCAGCTACTGTACACCCCACCCCATCAGTGTGACCTGCTCTGCTCTCTCCCAGCTGTTCATAGCTCACAATGAGAACCACAGCATAGAAAACACAACATGTTGGTAGTTGTTGATTAAGACTCTATGGAAATGTTTCATCTCAATATGCTCCACACGCTCAGAAAAAGGGGTATGTTAGGGTACAGTATTGTTCCCTTGGGTACAACAAGATCAAAATTCATATAAAATACCTTCAGATGTACACATATAATCTCATATGGCACTGTTCGCTACCTTTTAGGGTACATGTACAGATAATCTAGTATATGGTACATTTTTTGTACCCAATCATTTGAATATAAAAGGTACAATCATCACACTCTCGCTTTCAAAAAGGGGTACGGTGATGGTACATTTCTATTTCCCCAGGGTACAAACATATTTTGTGTACCTCAAGGGTGCACTAATGATTATTGATGGTTCTGATCTGTACATTTGCTTAGCAGAAAAGCTACAAATTGACAATGTGTTGAAGAAAGGTACATATTTGTACCCACTATAAGGTACAATTATGAACTTTTGCCACTTTAAAG